ATAAAAATTAATTAGATTATAAAATTTACTTTTTCTAGTTTATTATTAATACAAATTCAACGTTAAATTGAATTTTTAAATTGATTTCACAATTTCTATATTTTAAGAAGAAATTAATCATTTTATTTTAAAATTTGAAAATAGTTTGTATTTATGAATCCTAATTTTATGGATTTCCTTTATAAATTAATATTATTATCATTAATACATAAAAACATTACAAACTTTATTGACGATAATTACATTTTTTTCGTAATTAATAATTTTTCTAAATCAGTAAATAATTTTATTATTAATTTTTATTCTATAAAATTATATTTTTTATTATTAAATATTTTTAATAATAATATTTTTATTATATAAATTTATAATTTTTATTAATTAAATTTTATAAAATGTACAGGGCCCTATAAAAGTTTGAGACGGCCCTGGTTGTTGTTATTACTATTAACCATTCAACATATTTACAAATGGACTATATATAGCTTTTAATAAAAATTCTAAAATAAGAGAAAATAAACCAAAGAAAAATATAATAATATGTATAGACAGAAATTTAAATTCGACATAAACTTCCTGTATATTCTAATTTTTGTTCACCGGTTTTGTAATTTAAAACATGGGAATGTAGACTCGGTCGGTCCCTTGAATTGAATATAACATGTCTTTCTACATCTGCATGAGTAATCAAATCATATGACTAACATATCATTTTTTTTATACGGTGGAGACAGTCTCCACATTCCTTCGGGCCGTACACCGTTCGGTCCCGCGGACCAGACGACATTTCGGACACTAAACTCTTCGACTCCCCGCAATAATTAACAAACCACATGGAACAGATAAACCAACCGAAACTAACCGACTCAGAAAAATTTAGACATATTAGTTTTCCATTGTAAACTGTATAGTTTATTTGGTATATATATACACAGAGATAGATAGAAGCTTTATAATATATATATATATGTCCAAACTTGAATATATATAATCACCTAAAGGAGAAGATTGGACTGCTATATAACTTTGTAAATAATATTTTTTTATTAGTATTTAAATGAATAACTATATAATAAGTTTGCTTTAACTAACCAAATGCACTAACCAAAATTCAAATAAGGATCCGCAACTCCCCGACTTGACCCTTCCTCCTCCTCAAGGATCAATGAAAATCCAAGTAAAATTCGGTACAATCGGGACCAATAATATTATAATATTATTATTGTAAGTGGAAATCTAGAGAAATCCCACTTTGTAAAAATGATTTATAAGATAAATAATTAAATTATAATTTTGTTGTTTAATTAGCTGACAACGTTTTATTCAGCTCTTCTTCTCTCGCATTAGAACCTGTTTCCTCTTTCATGTATTCTTTAGAAGCCTAGCCGTTAATAAATACGGATTTAACTCACATTTGTCTTTTATTATTTTATTTATATAGCCATTAAATTAAAGTAACATTTCTTGCAATTCCTCTCACAAATAGTATATTATTCAATGGTATAAACATGTGTGTGTATATATATATATATGCGTGCGTCTGTGTAAATTTCATATATAAAATACTAAGCTTTTTCCAAAAAGAGATCAGTTTCCATTTTCTTATTGGTGTTTTGTTATATATATACCAAATTGGCCGTCACATAAGGATAGAACGCAGCACAAAAAAACTAAACTATGCATTTTTATGGTTTTGTTGTTGTGTGTCTGTATATACATATATGTATATAAGTGTGTGTGTGTATACTTTAATAGACAAATAAATTTGGTGAGGGATTCGAACGTGGCTAATGTTCATCCTCGCTTTTTTTATGAGTTTTTGTTAGGAGTGTCAATCAGATAGATCTGGCCTAAACTCGTACTTATAGCCCGATAGTTTCGAATTCGGGTTTGGGCCAAAACGATTTTTTTCGTATTTATTTAGCCGAATCCAAAATCCGATCCTATAGATTTTGAATTCGGATCCGGCCTAATCTACACAATTTTCTTTATAAATGTATTTTTTATTAAGAATTTTTTTTAAAAAAAAAAAATTCAAGTTTCAGATCATCCTGAAACGAACCTGAAATCCGATTTGAGTCCGATCCAAAAACCCAATTTTTTTCAGGCCTAAAAACTTAAGTCTAAAATCTGCTATTTTTTGGATTGATTCGTGCAGGACTTCACCTCGAACTAAATTGATATCTCTAGTTTTTACAGATTTCCTTAATTTGATTTATGTGTTGGGACGGGTTCACTTTGTTAAATATTAACTTAACTATTATTAATAATTTATTACATCTATTAAGTAAAGCTATAATACAATAAATCACATCTCCAAATAGTGCTTTCGGAGGCAAACGATGGAACATTAAGTGACTTGGCTAAGTCGTGATATTCTTGATATTTTGGATTTTAATTCGGATTCGTTTTGATTATTTTTTATATAATAATTTGGTTTTTTAAAAATTTTACCAATTGCGATTTATGTTGAATTTAATTTTCCATTTAATTTAGTAAGAAATAATCATTTTTAAAAAACTTTTTAATTTATTTGTTATTTGTTTGAATTTGATATCTCCAAACTAAAATGTCCGAATCGTCATCCGTTTTGATCATTTGTTTGAATTTGATATACATGGAGAAAGTCAATTGAGTTAATTTTATCATCATCATTATTATTAATATTATTAGTATTATTTTGTTGGTCGATGGATTCCATAAGTCCTTTACTCATATAAAATAAAATGTAACAACGATATATATATAGGTGAAATCACTCGCCCTCTCCTTTGTAAATTACAAATTCCCACCTTATAATACACGAGAATTGTGGATATATAATATAACCATTTGCATTATCCTTAGTTCGAGAAAAATCATATTTTAATTCTCTTTTATTCTGAATGGCTCAGAGCTGTTATCATTTTGTTAAATAATACAATAAAACGCATCAAATTGTTTTAAAGAGAAACTATCGACAAAGTAACAAAGGAAATTCTGCCGACATTATAATAATGTTATAACATTATATTAATAGCTTTTATAAAAAAACATTATATTAATGACGTGAACGATTTATTAAAAATAATAGCTAATAAAATGCCATATGTAATTAATGATTAATTCTTGCCAAACATTATATATAATAAGTTGTTTCACAACTCCAAATCCTCAATAGATACGAAAGAGTTTTATTCAAATCTGGTTTCCATTTTACTTTAGTTTAGCCATTTAATTCTGCCGCAACCTCACATACGTACTTGGCATACTCAATCTCTCTCTCATACATGTACATATTCACTAAAGCTCTTTTTATTGAATTTCATTTAAATTTATTACGTCATAACCCACACACTTGGAACCCACTTGGCGCACCTCCACGTGCCACTTAAGCACCCACTTATATTGTGTATACATATTTATAAACACCCATAGTCACCTCCCATATATTATTCCATATTCTAATTCACTTCCATTTCACTACACAATACAAAACATACTCCCAAATCTAAACCTTTCTCATTTCTCTCTCAGGTTTTGTCCTAAGTCTCTCAATCTCTAGGGCTCGAATTCTGTGTTTCGCTTTGCATACACACACACACACACAAATTAACGCTACGATCGATGAAAATGGCCATGACGGAACGAGCCCAAGCAATGTGGCGCACGTGCCTGGCCTCGGCCTTCAGGACGGCCCTTGCCTGCACCATCGTCGGAGCCGTGACACTCTACGGCCCCACGTCGCTCCTCCGTTACGTAGCATTCCCGGCCTTCTCTTATGTCACCGTTATACTCATCATCACCGACGCCACGCTCGGCGACACCCTCCGAGGTTGCTGGCTCGCCGTCTACGCCACGTGTCAGAGCGTGGGTCCTGCTCTCATCAGCCTCCACCTCATCGGGCCCGCGCATCTCTCCGCCGGTACTTGCGCCGTAGCCGTGGCAATCGCCGGGCTCGTGGTGGTGCTGCCGAGCGAGTCGACTCACCTGGTGGCGAAGCGCATCGCTCTCGGGCAGATCGTCATCATTTACGTCATCGCTTACATCAAAGGAGCCGACACGGAGCCCCTCATGCACCCTCTACGCGTCGCCGCAAGCACCGCCGTCGGCGTTGTAGCTTGTGTTTTCGCTCTTCTCCTCCCGTATCCTCGTCTGGCTTCTCGAGAGGTAGGCACATTTTTACATATACATATTTGTATAATTATATCTGCATCCATAATACATATACATACGCACACGTACATAATTATTTCGACCCAAAATCGGTTATCAACTTATATTTACATATAGCGCTGTAATTAGGAGAGTATCTAATACTATACATGAATTGTTGCGTGCATGACATGATATTAATACGTAAAATAATAACTTTTTGGACTGTTATACGCACATATAATTACATATATGTACAAGCGCGCGCTGTTATATACATGTACGTATATCTATAATATATATCTCGATTTTATATAATTATATTTTATGTATATGCATGCGTATATATATTTAAAGTGACAACGTAGTCGTACGCATTTAACTTCAAGCTGCATTAATTATTTAGTATATTAAATTCTGAGACGATGTTCTAGATGTATATACATGCGATATACGTATCATCCTAATACTCGCGCGAGCTACTGATTGGAAGGAGAACAAATTTTTTGTACGTGCGGAGGAGGAAAAAAACAAAAATTTTTATGTATAGTTTTGAATATATATACACCAATTTATATAGGTATAGTGGTAACACAGTCAGACACGACATATGGGCGTGGCTAATTAGATTTATCGCAAACTTTGTTCCAATAATATTGTAGTGGCCATATATATATATATATATATATAAATACATATATACACTTTTTTTACATCATCAACCACCACAGATCGATATTCTCTACGGATACTAAAATTGATTTGGAGAACAAGTTCTATGCATGACCGGAAATTAAGACTATGATTCCCTTTCTTAATAACATAAATAAATCTATACATATATTCCACAATACTGATATTTATTATACTATTAAAACTACACACCAATCGCTTAATTATAATAATATATATGCTCGCAGAGAATCCACGCATAGTTATAGCTACGGTACAAGATTCTGTCCTGTTTTTATACATATAAATAATATATATATATATATATAGATATATATAGATATATATATACATATATTAAATTCTCATCGTGGGTTTCCCATGATGTGTCGACAGGTGAAACAAAGCTGCAAGGAGATTGGCCAAAATATATCGGAGAGACTGAAGCTGTATATCAAGGCCTTTAGTGCTGATGATGCCACGTCAGCAACCACGTCGATTTCTCAGGCCAGATTATTGGCTCCCCCT